AATACTCTTTATTTACTAATATCAGGCCAGTTATTTGAGAATTGCTGAATGTTATCACTAATTCTTGACAAAAGGACAGCTTTGCTTAAAGCATCAATTGTTTATAAAGAACATTTTTTAATCTTCAACAAATAAAGAGTGAATCTAGATACATTATATTCTTGTAAGTATCTGCATGCTTATATATATATATATATATATATATATATGGGTTTCTATTGAAAGAAAATCAGTTTTACTGATAAAACATTGAACTTAAAAGGTAATTATCATTGGTGGCATAGCTGATTGAAATGATCAGATTTCAAAATTGCTCTTTACTGTGGAATAGGTTATAAAGTCCTCCATACCAACCACTGGATGTTTGTAAAGCATAATACTTACAAAGTATAAATATAAACTTCAGATGGGTAGCTATCCTTATTTATTTAAACTGGCATCATTGTTCTGGTTGTTCAATATTTCTGCTCTTGTACTCTTCGAGGACAATACTTTGAATAAATCATTGTATAATAATGATAATTCCTCATCTTGGAAATTCACACAAAATTATTCAAACTAGTATAAGAAATAGAAAATTGATTTTTTTCAAATCATATCAAAAAGTTATTGTACTTCTACAATCCTCATTATTTATTTAGCATAAATAATTCTATCATAGATCACCCATTTAAATGTTTGTAAAATCAGGTGAATTATAAAATTGTCAAATAGTTAAACTTTTGATAGCATTAATTTCAAATTTGGGAAAAGCAAATTTAAAATAACTTGGACCATTTTGATAAAATGCTAAAATTTCCCTTGTGAGTTTTATAAAATTCCCTTTCCAAAAGGCAAATAAATTTTTGCTATCCACAGAAGAAAAAAAGAATGCACTTTTTGAATCGGACTGAATTGTCATGTCAGGATAAAGTCTGTTATTTTTTGGTGGGGAGATCTGTTTTTCTTTCATATATTTCTAATTTATACTGTGAGTAGGCTTTAAATGTTGTCAAGCTAATAAACATACTTTTAAAATTTGAACACTTTTAGGACTTGATGAAGAATATATTTAGAGTTCATTTGATGAAGTAATAATCTTTCATTATAGATGCTGACTGTTTAAACCTGGTATTTTATCTTGCAGTAACATGGCTCAGTAGATATTGTTACAAAAAAGATCCTAACTAAAAAATTGTTTTCTTGACTGAATTGATGCATGATAGTTAACTAATGTTTTGCATTTTATAAATTACTATTTTGTGGTGTGTTTCAGACAAATGGATAAAATTTTTATTTTTGAACTTTGTCATGATTTTAACTTTTCAGTAAATATTTTTATTATGTATTTCAACATGTCCACCAATTTTTTTTTTTTTTTTTTAATATGGATAGTAGTTTTTGCTGATCTGGACTTATTTTAGCATTCTGCATATCAGTTGAAAATGAATACAATATAAATATTTTTTCTTTTTTAAATGAAAAGTATATCTAGTTTTCAATTTGATAGTAAGTTTTAGTAAGTAGTCTTTTAGTGTACTAATGATTTATTTTTAAACTAAAAATTCAACAAAAGTAATTTGGCATTTTTTATTTAGAATATTTTGTGTACTTTCTGTAACTTAGACAATATTGAATAAAATCATTAGGTTATCTCAGTGATAATATTCTGTGTAAATAGAAGTTTGATATAGAAATTTAACTTAATCCTTAAATGCAATAAAAAAATGTCAAATTGGAATTTAGTTCAGTTACATGATTGATTCAAATAATGGTTATTTCCAGATCCTTGGAATAGTTTGACCAAATAATCTATTGTATAAAATGCAATGTGACTTTATACATTTATTGTTCAGACAGGCTGATCTCCCCTTATTAATGAGATTGTTCCATTGTTAACAGGATGTCAATAAGTAAACATACATCCTGTTACTATAATAACAGAATATCTCATTAGTGATTAGGGGAGATCAGGTTCTTAATACATTGCTTTTTGTTTGTTTTATTTTTGTTGTTACTTTTCTTAGTATCTTTTTTATCCTTTGCCAGAATGTACCATGTAAGTATAAAAAATATTAAGCCCAAGCACTAGGGCCCAAGGCTACCAGGTAGTACCTCTTCTTCAGGAGGAGGCTGGGTTTATTGCCCGGCACTTGAGGCATTTCCTAAAAGGTGAGGTGGTGGCTTGGGCAGTTTTTTCATGGTATTGCCATTAAACCCACTTTAAACCTCAACTTTGTGTCACATTTGGTAGTGAAGAGGGCACACTAAAATGACAACCATTAAATTAACAAATTTCCAAAAAGTAATCATGGCAAATGACAGATTTTAAAATCTTTCATTTTCAGTCCAGTTTGCCAGATTGAAATACTTTTGAAAGATCAGGGATACTAAATTTTGAATTTTTCTATTTTCAATTTCTGGGGCTGCTAATTTAGTTTAATGTCATTTATTCCTTGTTCATCATAAGAACTATGCATATTATGAATTGTTTTTGATAAATGTCAAATTGGAATTAATATATTTTTAGTGTCCAAGTTGGTAACAAGTGACTTAATGACAGTAATATTTTCTAAAAATAATAAACTATGCTAAAAAAATAGTTTATCCTTTTCTCCATTTTCATGCATAAAGTTTTATATGATCCATTTTCATATTATTTTTGATTTTTAACTGAGTCACATTTTTAACATTATATATACTGTTTTTATTTTTATAGTTTAACTTTGTTATATGTAAACTGAATAGAAACACAAAACACATTACAGAATTTATTTCCATGGAAGTTAATATTTAAGAACAAGAATATAACATTTTGTTTAAGAAATAGGAATTAGTATAAAAAACAAGCTTTATTATTTATGCACAATGCTGGACAACTTTATATTCAATAGCACAGATGTGGATGTTTTTGGATACAAGACAATATATAATGAAGATTTTGGAATTTGCAATATATTTAATCAGAAGATAAGTTGATCATTCAGCAAAAAGCACAATTTTGAAAAATGGAAATAAAAGTAAATGTCATTTAAAACATTTCCTGGATTTTATCATAAAAGTCCAACCATAATTCTATTATATAGCAGAAATACAAACTGGTAGAAGTAACAAGTGAATGTTTAAAACTATTTTGTTTTTTCAATATTACATCAACAATATAAGAGTTGATATTTTGAAAGAATTGTTTCTAGTGGATAGATTTCATGTTCATTTGCACATAAATTGAAATAAAGTTGAAACCAAAAATACAGATATAAATATAGTTATCATAGAGTAAATTACCTACATAAGTACCCTGAAAGTCTGTCAGGAAAAACAAAATGCTGATTTTCATGTGATGTTTGATGACTAGCAAATTTGACACAAGATATAACACCGTTCCCACATATGTTACATACAAGCTCAAGATGAATATCTTCTGGGATTAAATCTACATGACCTTTTCTAAGAGTTCTTTTAAACTTCAAACAATCAACTCTTTTGACCTCAAAATGATTGCAACCATCAAAAACTAACTTTCTCCAACAAGATCTATTTTCTACTTCATCTTTGACACTAATTTCAAGATTTTTCAGGTTGTCTTTTGAAATGCTTCTTGGGTTTGTCTTCGCTCCAAGAGTGAGCTCTCATAAAACAAGTGCTTAGGTAAGCTCTCATCTTTCATTCTCCTGAGATGCCCTGCCCAGCACAGCTGGTTACAAATGAGCAGTTTCTCTATGCTAGGTGTTGTGGACCATTGCAGAAGAACTGCGTCTCTTATAAAAGACTGCCACTTGATATGATAAGATTCTTTTGATAAAATCTTTCCAAAGTTTTGATATGATGGTGATCTCCATGTCTCCAAAGTGTACATGAGAGCAGTCAGAACACACTGATTTTAGTGTAAAGTGTGATATCTCTGTCTGACCAAACCCTATTTTTCCTATTTACAGAAGGCTTTGCTGGCTTTTTTTTTAATTCCATGATTGATTTCAGGATCCAAAGAACCATCCTTAGGGAGAGTACTTCCAAGGTAGACAAAGGTATCAACAAACACGAGCCTCTGACCCTAAACAAAAATGTTAAGTTCAATATAGTGTTTTCTTTGGGGTGGGTGTACATAACCTTAGTCTTTTAATGTTGATACAGTGCATGCTCTTGAAAAGAAATGGTTCATTATGGCTTGCATGTCCTTTCCCCATTTTATATTTATATATATATATATATATATAATGCACACACAAATTTTTGAAGACTGAACAAGATTTCAACAAATTTTAATAATTTTGATCCGATATTGGTGCACTTTTCTATTTAAAATAAAGCATTTTGTTTTCATACTGACTGCTGAGTGACTTCTTAGACTATGCCCCAACCTGCTTGTTGATTTCAAATTTCCATATCTTTCTCAAACTTCAATGACACATTTTGAAAAAGCTGAAAGCAGTTACCAACAGTATTCATTATCTGTAGTTTGCAGTAGTCTATCAAGTAATTATATCAAACCAAATTGAGAAATTATATATAGTCATATTCTTAACTACAGTGTTAAAATATTTAAATAGTTTTGAAGAAAACAAATATTAAATAAAAATATTTACTAAAATAAAATTATTAAAAATCTCTCTTTAAAAAAAAAAAAAACCTCTTTAAATTTATGAAAATATCAACAACTGCATGTTTAATCTGTGTTATGATTTATCATCCTTTCATTCTACAAGGAATCATTGATTTAATGTGGTAAATGGATGATCCCTTAAAAATTATTTTATTGGATCCAAGAAATATATTTTAAAGTGTTTTCTATTGATATTCTATTTAAGTTTAAAAATAGTACTATATTTTAATCATTGTTTAAATAATTGAACAGTGTTTAAAATATAGTCAAACTGTTTTTAAAATGCAGCTTTTATAGACATTTTCATTTTTGTCTGCACTATTTTTCATTTTGATATTGTATGTTTTATAAAAAAATGTCATTAATTTCTGTTTAATCATTAAAGTAAAATATTGTATAATTGCAAACTGTTTAATTTCAGGCACAAACCACCAATTCACGACAGTCTACAGCTTTTATTGAAAAATATTTAGAAGGTAAATGTATTTTATTTTTTGTGATATGTTTATTGGATTGCAATTTTATTGTTTGATTTTAGTTTTCCAAATTCAAACTGCAAATGTCACATTTATTTTACCCAGAAACAAAATATCTCTATCAACTTCAAAGTGATTATTTATGTGACCATCTGAACATTTTACCTTTTTAAAAAAGTAATGAAAATCCTAACTCTAAAAAAAATTCAATTTCTATCAGTTAAAGTTTTCCATCAATATCACTAAATGTATTTTGAAATGAGAAATGATTGTATACCAAAAAGAAATCCCTGTAAGTTATACAAAAATGACAAAGGGATATAAATATAGTTAGAAAGGGAAAAAATCTCATTTCTTATTTTTAAGAAATGATTTTCTGAATTAAAATGTTTTTTCTTTATTTTAAAATAAAATTAGATGATTCAATGAATTCACAAATGAGTACTTTAAAAGAAACCATTTAAAGATGTGTAGTGAATTAGAATTTTATTCTATACAAAATATATCTACCTAAAGAACATGATTATTGATATTGTTACTTATCATTGCTTTTCTTAACCAATTTAGTACAGATTTGCATTCATCTTGAATTATAACTTAAAATATGTGAAGAATATATTTATTTCTATGATTTATTAATTCAATTTATATTTCTGTTAGGACCATTTTGAGCAATTACAAAGGTTTTCAGTGACTTTATTCACTACTTTTGCTGTTGAGAATTAAAATTTTTATTTGAAACTATTATTAATTTAATGTAATCACTACCTGAAAAATATTTTCTTTAAATTAATATCCAGATTGATCAAGCAAATAATAAGAAAATATTATGAGAGATTTGTAAATAAAATCTTTAATTGATGTTGTTTAACATTTTTAAGACAGATATCATGCCAATTACTTTGATATATATATCTATCTATCTCTCTCTCTCTCTCTCTCTCTCTCATACACAAAAATAACCCAGGAAGGTCAGTCATTCTGTCATTTAACTGCCATACAATTAAAATTTCCAAATACATAGATCACTATATACAGCTCCTAGCTAAGGAAGTAAAATCCTACATAAGAGACACAACAGGCCTACTAAACAGAATTAAACATATACAAACAGTACCAGAAAATGCAACACTATTAACCATGGACATTAGATCTCTTTATTTCAACATCAAATACAACGAAGGACTAATCGCTCTTAAAGGAGCACTTAGGAAAAAAACAAAACAAGAATACCCCCACTCCTCAGAAGTAATCATAAAATTTATGGAGAACATTCTCACATTGAATAATTTCAATGGAAATTGTAAAAGCTGTGCTATGAGCACTGTTGTAGCTCCATCATATGCCATGATCTTCATGGGCAAATTTGAGGAGACCCATATTTATCCTTTCATCAGTAATGACTGCATGTTCTACACAAGATGTATCGATATTTTCATATATACAGGCAATGAGGAAAAACTTACTGAATTCCTTGTGGCCCTAAACACAGTACACAACTCCATTAAGTTTGATCATGAAAAATCACAATTGGTAAAATTTCTAGACACCCATATCTATAGTGATAAAAATAGAAAACTACAAATCACGCTACATACTAAAACCGACACCCACAACTATCTACACTTCCCACCCAAAACACCTCAAAGAAACTTTCCCTATTTACAAGCAAGACTTAGGATATGTTCCAACAATGAAGATCTAACTAAACATACTAAAAATCTTTCACAGCACATGGCTATAAACACTTAATTATAGAACAAATAAATAAAGCAATTTCCACACCAAGAGAAGACATCATAAAGTATAAAATTAAAAATAAATCCTTTAGTAACCACTTTCAATACTACTCTACCTTCACTATCTCAAATAATCAAAAGTTGCTGGGAAATACTACATCTCAAAAACCTAAAAACTTTGAGGAACCTGGCCTTCTAGTGTATCATAAATCAAAGAACCTTAAGGAAATCATAGGTGGTAACCAAATTTCAGATGACAAACTAACACAGAATAAACCAAGAATAACAATAGGATTGTCCCAATCATGCAACAACAAAAGAAGCCTATGTTGTAACCACATTAAACACACCAATTCATTCATTAACTCAGTCACTAAATCTACTTTCAAAATCTACCACAACTCTAACTGTAGAAATCATAACATAATTTACTTATTAGAATGCACACTATGCCAGAAACAATAATTATCAAAATTGGATTAAGTTAGCTCTCCACGAAAGATTATTACCTGTAGAACAATATTTCTGTCTAGAAAAACATGATATTAATAGCCATGCAAAATTCACTAATATTGAAAGAATAGAAATACACAAAAGACAAAGTTAGGAAAATATTAGAACATGAAGAAAAATTGATTTTGTGCCTTAAAACAGTTTGTCCAGATGGATTCAACAACAAACTAAACATCACAGATAGAATTAATATATAACCCCATAGATCACCCTCCCTCGACACCCATATTTCTCTCTCACACATAATCTCTGTATACTCTACTGCTACTACATAGATGACACCACCCATGAAGAGCCCAAGCTGACTCCCCTAACCCTTCCCACCCTCGACCACACCAGGCAGACATGCTTACAGGTGATGATGTCTCCCATATACACACTCCCACACAAATATATACACATACATACATTACACACACTCTCAAAAAATTAAACAATAACATACACATAACACACACATCCCCTTTCCAGCAACCAATAAAGCTGTCAAAATGACTAAAGAGGTAAATCTGAGACTCTTGGATCTCCCAACATCTTCATTAAAAAAAAAACATCTTGAAAAAGATCTTTGAACAGTCCCAGAACTGACCAAAAATAAACTATAAAAAAACAAATGAAAACTACAGGCCAATTTCACTTCTGTAGTTCACTGCTAGTAACAAGCATTAATTTTTTTTCTCCTGATGATGACCGTGCTGACCAAAACCAGTTGAGGAACCTAATTAACAAATAAAACAAAAATATTAATATACGACTCAGTGTGTCTGAAATTTTTAACAATTTATATATATATATATATATATATATATGCACACACACACTGCAAAATTAATGTAATTAAAAATTAAATAAACAATAATATATATATATATATATATATATATATATATATATATAGAGAGAGAGAGAGACAGAATGTTTTTATTCCCAAATATTAAGGTGTTGGATATTAATGTTTAAACAAGTTCATGAAAACATTTGGATTGTTTTTAAATATACTAATTACACCCTTATATTTGTATGGAAACAACTTTCGTATAAAATTTAAACATTTTTTTTATTTAAATACATGTATGTATGATAGAATAAAGAACAAATAGGAAATGTTTGTAAATCTAACATGTTTCAAATTTACTAAAGCTTCATTAGAAAATATAATATGGGAATAAAATATTTTCTGTTATTTTTGTATTTGGTTTTCATTGTTTAAGCAGATTCACAGGCATTTGACTTGTCAAGCAATGTTTGTGTGTAAGTTTTTTCAATGAAAAACTACAAAAATAAAAATACCTGAAATTTTTTTTTTATATCTCTCATTTTCTGTTGAAGCTTTAATAAAAGCGAAACATGATAGTTTTATAACTGTTTCCTATTTGTTCTTTATCCTATCATTCTGTCAGATTCTGATCCATATTTGATCCCAATTCACATGTATGCATATATCTATGTAGAGATATGTTTCACCAAACTAACATTAGTTTCTTTTAATTACAGGGAAGACTTTTGTAGACTTCAAAATTATACAAGCAAAGAACTTGGATGCAAAAGACCGGAATGGTATTTGTTATTTTAACAAAATAACCATCTTTTAGCAATTGCACTTTCAGTTTATTTATACCTATTTCTGATGCATTTTTACTTGAATCAAGCTATATTTTAACTTGGCATTGTTACATTCCAAATCATACTATTTTTTTTTTTTTTTTTTTTTTTTTTTTTTTTTTTTAAAGAAAAAAATTAACGTTTTAATTTTTCAGTCTAGCTCAAAGCAAGATCTTAATTTGTGTAGTTTTCTAAAGGATGGAATTTGAAATTAAATAAAATTAGTTATAAGTAAAAGATTTATTTAGTCTGTATCTTCTGTTGTTAATATGAATACAATGCCTAAAAACTGTAGAGAATTAAAAGTTGATTTTTAACAAAGGCATTATGGGCTTTCCATACAATATATTTATATATATTCATTTAAACACATGTACATGCTAAATAGTAGATCTAAAACAAATAGAATGTTTAGATAAAAAATGAATGACAAAATCAAACAAGAGAATTCTGTAAAAAAAAAAAAAAAAAAAAAAAATATACATAGTGGTATAAATAATCATAAAAAGGTTGATAGTCCAAATAATCTCAACCTGGTTTATAGCATAATTTTTTTTCCAGGTTTCAGTGATCCATTTTGTGAGTTGTTGTTAGGAAAGAAGAAAGTATTCAAGACAACAGTTAAGAAGAAGACCCTGTTTCCCATTTGGAATGAAAGTGTCACTCTAGAACTTCCTGATGATAGCAATGCAACTGTGGAACTTGTAAGTACATAATTATTCTTAGAGATTTTGCTTTCTTTTTTTTCTCTTCTATTATTTTTATAGATTTCTTAAAGTGTTATGTTTATGGTGAGTAAGAACAGACGAGAATTTTGAAATATATTTTTTTGGCACTCTCTTGTGTATATGTGTATGCGTGTGGTTTGCCTTTTGCCAAAGTTGGTTATGGCATTAAAAGCTTTTTGCTGGTCTTGTAGTTCACCTAAGTGCTTAACTTAATCGATTTAACTACACTGTTCTCTGTTAATCATCATGGCAGATCAATAAAACATTTTGTCAAGATATATAATTTTAAGACAGTACAAGGAAAATAGATTTCCTACCTTTTCCATAATAGAGTAAAGTGGATATAAGCAGTTTCAACTGAAATTTGTGTTTTCCATTCCATCTAATGTGTGTGTGTGTTACTAAACATTTCAGTGGAAGTATACTTGATTATCTAAACTGATTACATTTTTTTTCTTTCTGGAGAAGAAATATATTTTTTATTTTAAAAATTATCTTTGTATTTTCAAATGAATAAATAATAAACAAATCACACTGCACACGTGTGTGTTAATCACTGTCATCTGTGATAATATTATAAGACTTAATTTTTTAATTATGGAGAAATCTTACCTCCAAAAACCAACCTTTTACCATTTCTATGGCAGATGATTACACATATAGCCTTCTGTGGTGAAAATGGCTAAGGCACTTTCAATAAAAAAAAATTACCTTGAATTTTTTTTAGTAGTGTGGCCAGCTTTATAATGAGCCATATTTGATGCAGCCCACAATTCAAAATAGTTGCCCATGTCTAATCTAAATTATTAGCATTTATGAGAATTTGAAAATTCTGAAAGTGATCAGGAAGCAGTGGTAAGCTTTAATTATAATATGTCTTGGTGATGGAAACATGTAACTTAATCTAGAAGTAGACAAAACTATAGAAGACTTGTAATCCTAAAAAATAGCTAGGATACTATACTAAGATAGCTAGGATCAAACAACTTATGACTTAAGGTCATCTAACTGATGTTATATAACATAGCCTATACTATCATCTTACTAGATTTCCAATTTCTTTCTTTTATATTAATTACAGATTCAAAGTAGATTCTAAATTGTTTTGAAAAATGTTTTGTACAAGTATTTTATTTTTACTTTGATTTTTTTTTTTTTTTTTTTCCTTTTGTTCTTTGTAGATTGTATCTGACAAGGACCTTATTTACAATGATTTCCTTGGGAATTTACAGTTAACGATGGGGAAGATGAAAGAGATGTCAATGAATGTTAGTAGACATTTTTTAAGAATTGATCTATATTTTTTTTTTTAAATTGTTAGCATCATGTGAACACCTCCTGCTGAAGTATTACTCTGCTGATTGTTAATGCAATAAAATATTTTGTTTAACATTTCAGGGACATTCAGAGTGGTTTCCCTTGTCAAAATGTAAATCTGGTTCAATCCAACTACAGTGCACTGTGACATCCAAAGACACTGTGGTACGTTTTTCATATATTCAAAATTCTTTTCTTTAAATTGTAGCAATGTATGATTTTTTTTTCTTTATGCCAGTAAGGTAGATGGTCATAGGCTAGTAAAACTTTGGATGTAGGAGTAGTTTATTTCAGAATATATCAACTATGTTCATAATGGCAAAATGTGAATCCTGTTCAGGAAATTGACTCAAAGACTCTGGTTCTGAGGGTCTGACAAGTCTCAAAAGCAAAACAACATTAGGGCTTTGGTCCAATTTAATTATCTATCCCTTGACTCAGCTATAATTTATGCACATGTCAAAAGGTAAGAAATGAATTATATAACAGTCTAACAAGAGGCATGAAATGTAAGTCACTTGATGAATTGATCAGCTATGCCAGCCTTCCATTTTCTCTTGCTATTCATGGCCTAGTGACATGATAATGCTGATGTTAGGATGCTAAGGTAAATTCATCTCTACCAATCATTCCAGTAGAGATTAATCTGAAAACCCAATATGTAATCTTTAGAAAAGTATAACAATATCTTTAGATTTACAAATCAATAGACAAGATAATTAAAATTTCACAAAAGTGGGAAAGATGACTGAGGCTTAAAAGACAAATTTTTCTTGTCATATTTGTTTTTAAAATACTTCTTTAAACTATCAATAAGAATTTTGTTTTGATTAGAAGATAATTACTGTTATTGATTTATTATTATTTTGTATTTTTCTATTTCAAGTTGGGTCTGTGATTTTGTATTTCAGCAATCTAAAGAGAAAAACAATCATCCCCAATTTCATAATGAAGAAATTAACAACGAGGCCTTAAAGACAAAATATACAAAATCACCAGCACAGTCCTCATTTGTAAGTGATTTATTTTTACTGAAATAAAAATTTGATAGACAAAATGAAAAATAAAATGTAAATCATAATAAATCTTAATTAGTAACTGTTTTACATTTTAAAATGAAAATGCTTACCATTTATTAAAAAATACAGTTTTGCAGTTTTACTATACAAAAATATAAAGAATGTGTGTATTGCTCAAATCAATTGGTGTATTATGTTAATAGCATAATAAATCTCTAGATTTGATTGATTTGTTTTCTACAGCTTATCAACCCTTTGCAGGTTATTTAGAGAGAAAATATTTTAAGATTGTAATATTTTTATTTGTAATATTTTTTAGATAATGATTAACAATGCAAGTTTTACTAATTAATCATATCTGGGGTGAGGGAGGTGTGTTCATACCTTTCCTAAGGGTATTTGTGCATAAGTGAATATAATGAACCTAACTGGAATTGGAACTCAGCTTGCTGATTAACAATTCTGAACCATTATCTAGTACTCCACTTGAACATCCAAGCTTACAGCACCTAGTATTCCCAAGTAGTCACCTATCTAGGTACTGACCAGGCTCAATTTTGCTTAACTTCAATGACCATACAAGAACCAGTGTTTCAATGTGATGTGGCCATAAGCCCATATTGTCTTTAGAGCTTTAAACCTTGTGCCAAACTAGACTTAGTAACAAGCTCTATAGTGATTTACTATGTTAACATTCTGTTCCAACAATGAATACAACTTAGAGTTGCTTTCTTTCAAATGTTTTAACATTAAGTTCTCAATTTCAAAATGGTAAAGAGCACTTGAAAGAAAAAGTGGTGAGGTGTATGTGTACACACCCACATGTATACTATTTGTATAATTTCTTTCTTTTTGCAGGAAGAGTCCGTAAGAAGCAGTCCATCTGACATGCATCTACCCTCACCAGGAAGGTCTGTGAGCAAGTCTAAATCTCCACTGAATGGAAAATCTATCCTAACCCGTTCAATTTCAGATGCTAACGTAAAGAAATCAAGTTTCCGACGCAGTATCAGCAGGTCCATACTTGGCTCCTCTGTTGTCACACGTAATGGGCATGGAGATAATCTCCATAAAACTGTCTCGTGAGTAATGAAAACTAACGTTTGGGTACCATTAGGAAATCCTCTTTATTCACTCAGTAATGAAAAAATAAGGATCTTTCCCAAATTCAATTTTGGGATTAAAATTAAATGATTTTTCATGATTAAATGATATTTTGCCACAACTTCATTTTATTTTATGAACAATTGTATATCAAATAAATGTTCTGATGTTGTACTTAAAAAAAATCAATGAAAACTTATAATTTTTGCTAATTTTGAATCATTTACTCATTTATCTGTGAAAAGCTATTTCTAAAGAATACAATATGATTAGAAAATTGTCAATTTTTAAAATGGAACTCTGCAATTATAAAAATAATGAACTAAAATAAAGGTATTTTATTACGTATTTTTATTAATATACATACAATGAAATTTGAATGCTAATATACTAATGTTTTAATCTAATCAATTCATATGTCTAGTGATATGTAAATGACAGCCTAATTAGCATAGCTAAGGCATAGATACTATATAAGTTCCAAGCAGTAAGAAGTGGGGCAGAATACAATACTGTAAACTGGTTGGTAACAATAACACTGGTACCTTCTCTCTTGTGAGGATTGACACAGGGAATCTATTTCAAATCCACAACTCACAAATTCCAACAATGCAATCTGCCATGCTAGACACATTCTCCTACTATCTATTGGCCTGTCTATTTATCTACTTCAGAGTCCACACAGCTTTTTGTACATCCAGGCACCTGAATCAAATCATGCATCACGCTTAAATCATGTTTTCTGCATTCCAAAGGATGCGAGTTTGATCTGGGCAGGCAAGAAACAACCAGATTCTCCTCTGTTTTATTATTCCTGCTACACCCACCACACACACACACACACACACACATGCACCCTGGATCTCATTATTTTCACACAAGCTGCAGGGGGGACGTGGCTTCTTGTTGCAGGCACTCCCTTCAAAAGGGGAACAAGCTAGGCCTCTTCTTCAGAAGAGCTCTTGGAAAGGGCATATGCAACATTTATCTCTGCAGTCAGGCTCTTAGGTTTGTGCTGGTATGGTACAAAAATAAGTTTGTTCTCAAATGACACATCACTACTGTCACTCATTGGTGGTGTTGTGTCAAGGACAGGAGAGATCCTTTACATGGCACAGTTCCATTGACCATGACAATGTTGGCTGATAATGCTGGTGATATAACCCTTCTTGTAGTTGGTGGTACCCCTATAGGAGCTTTGTACCTGGATAGAGGTCCGTCTAAAGGTCTGATCTCTTTCATGGCTGTGGTTCAGCAGAACAAGGAAAAAGTGTCGGCTACAAATGCATGCGCTTTACTACTACCACCACAGGACTGAAAAAATATAAAGGAAATCACAGTTCCTAACAGTTTGTAATAACCATTCAATAAATATTATCTTTTACACAAATATGACTTTAATTATTTTACATCTGATTGGGTGAGATTTAAGGGACGTAACTCCTATTTTTTAAGTATGTAAAGTAAGGATTTATTAATTTAAAGCAATCTTTAAGTACTTTTGTTACTGACATTTTACTTTAAATGTGGCAACAATGCAACTCGCGTTGGTTTAGTTGATAAATAATTAAGCACCAAGATTAAACAACTTACTACATCTTATATATTCAACATTTATTTGGAGATTTCTCTTACTATTGGCCACATTCATTTTTGTCTTTACCTTTTAAAGTGTGAATCTTTTATTCCAAATTGTTTACCCATAACAACTTAAATTTTCAGTTGAAGTAAATAAGAATTTGATGCATAAATACAAATTCTATATTATTCAACTGCTTTATTGTCTTTAATTTTGAGAAGTCATTAACATTCAAAGATTTGTTTTGATCATTGAACTTTTTTCTTTGTCACTGATCTGATGTGGTCACCACAATGTTTCAGATGATCCATTTTGAGCCTGTTTTGTCACCATTTTGTCCTATTTAAATAAAAAAAATACTCATTCTTTACAGATTCTACATACAAAGAATGCTTTAACTGTGATACTCTGGCAATAACATCAGCAGTTCATTTAATGAATCAGAACATTTCATAGAATCTGATTTTACCAAAAGACAAAACAATTATTCACTTCACTTTATTTAAAAGTTTGGAACTGCAGAAAATAAATAGCATATAATAAAATATCAAAACTTAGATTCTTTGCATCCAATAATTTTCTTGGTCTTCCTATCATTCATTGTAAAGTAAGATTTTCTAGTTTTATTCATTCATTTGATTTACAATTGTTTCATTAAAATAAAACCTTAACTAGACATGTATGCATTTGGGTTTTTTCTTCAAATTTCAATTTCTTTGGTTTGCTTTTTACTCACTCAATTTTTATTTTCAGACTCCAAATTATTTTTCTTTCTTTCAAAATGAAGTATTCTTTATTCTATGTTGATTTAAAAGTAAAAAACATGTTTTATCTTTCCGTGAATATAATCTATTCAAAATCTGAAGAATTTTCTTTTTACTTGTAAATTTATTCATTTTGCATTTGTATCTCATGATGTAAATGATATTGAAATCCTGACTTTTTCATTGTTAAAAAAATAGGCTATTTTTGTAACCAGTATGATATGATTAACACTAAATCTATTCTATTATTAAAGTACCTTAATTCAAAAAGGCACTTTATATTTTTTATTTAAATACTAACATAAATACTCTGATTTGTTTGAAAACAATGTTAACAAACTTAGATAAAAGTTAATTAACCTTTTTCAAATTATTATTATTAATAAAATAGTAAATAAACTTAAGATATATTTAAACATTTAATTTAATCATTTTTTCAAGCAAAAACTATGTGAGCCTTATTTTGAAAAATAATTTACTATTTATTTTGGAGGGGAATAATTTAGATTTTTTTTAAGTAAATAAAGTTTTACTTTTAAACATTAATTACTATTTTGAAAGAGTAGAAGCAAGATACATTGAGAATTTAGTTTTGAAATGTGAATGTTTAAATTTCGAGTTTTATTTAAATTAACTTTTGAAAAAATAAGGCTCACTATAGTTTTTGATTTAATAAAACCTAATTTAAAATTATTTACTTTTCTATGTCAGTTACAAATAAAAAAAAAAAAAAACAATGAAGATTTTAAATATTTTCTAATATAATCATAGAATTCTGCCTTTAAATATGTGCTAAAGAGAAACATGAAAATGACTTTTTGCAGAATATGTTGCATAAATTTAGTAGATTTACAGTAGATTGTGTTACCAGATAATCTTATTATAAAATGCAGGTTGTGTGTGTCTGTAACGTTTACATGTTGGATCGAATTTCCTACATTTTTTAGCCGATTTCAACAAAACTTCACAGGACTACATAAAATTACCTTTTGGTGGTTCTAACGGCGCCAAAAATGGGGAAAAACACAGTTGTTTTTTTAAGAAAATCAATTTGAAAACACGATTAAGACACATCGTGAGAATGAAACGGGGACAACTCACCCACGAAAATGTAAACAAAAGAGCATAGCATGATGAAAAAAAAGACGCCGAACTTGATTAAAAACAAAATTTTATCGTCTAATGTTCATATTATTATTATTAAAGAGGAAAGATCAAAGTATTTTTGGGGTATTTTTTTACATTTTTTAATCGTTCCTAGCACGTCTGAAATTTTCGTTAAAAATAGTTTTTTTTTTTTTTTTTTTTTTTTTTGGTCAAAAAAAAGGACAGATAATCAATCATTTTTTTCGATTTGATAAAAAAGATTAAAATCTTACTTTGATATTCTTTTAAAAATCAATTATCATTTTTTCAAAACTGATCTTAATAAAAACAGATATTATACTGTTTATTTAAAATATTTTGAACCAAGCTTAACTTAGCTTCTCTTCGAAAAAATGTAATTTGAAAATAAAACAAAGCAGGTCATAACCTTTCGCGTCGCTTCACGATTGACGAAAGGCACATTCATGACGTTGAGATAACTTACGGAGGGTAATTCTTTCTACGGATGGAAGGAAGTGAAATTATTTAAGTGAACAAATTATTTACCTCGTTACTTTTTAAGGAAAACTTTTCAGCGCTCTAATTTTTTCATTTTTTTTTTTGTACTTAGCTTTCATTTTTACGTTTACGATGCTTTATGGAAAATATAAAAAAATTAAAAAATAAGATTATTAAATAATAGTGAGATTAAATTTCATAAGAAAAAGGTATCTAATTAATTTAGGTACCTTTCTTATGAAATTTTATCAGAAGTGTACATAAAATACTATAATTTTATGTACATTTATTACATTTTACTGTGTTATTTGTATTTCCATTCATTTTATTATTAATTTTGATATTTCATTTATGGAAAAATGTCATAACTGAGATTAATATAAAAATAAGATCATATAAATTAAAGTTTAGCAGTAGTTAAATTTCATAAGATGATACTGTTACTTGTAGGTACCCTTCTCAGTTGAAATTGAAAACTCAAATTAACTTCTCCATACGTGTTTTTAAAAGTAAAAAGGGCTTAACAGAGGAGAACAATGCTGAACTCAAATAATGCAACTAAATTGTATTCTGGTTGGTCTTCCGTACTTGATAATTACTGTCCGACTATAAACACAAAAATTGCATTTCTTAATTACCATGGCTAATCTGATTGGTCCAAATTATACAATTTTCAAAGCGCTAGACAATCTCACACGGACATTTTGAAAGGTTGATGTTGCATTTAACATTTTTTAAAATTCAATTTAAACATTTTTTAAAAATCTTTTTAAAATTAAAGAAATAATTGTATTAAAAATTCAATTTCCATTGAAAAAATTTTTTGCTTTCAGAAAATATTGTCCATATTCATAAAAACAAATTAAAACAAATAAAAGCATTTGAAACTAAATAATGTATTTGTTTTATTGAGTTTTGTATGTTACAATTCACAGCTGATTTTCAGGTACGTTGGCCAAAAAATACATGATTTGCATTCTTCAAAGCCTTGTGCTTTTAACTATTGTAATCACTAAAACCGATGGTCTCG